TTCCTTTCATGTGTCTTCTGGGAGAAGGGGTATTACTGATCTGCTCTTCAGCAGTTCTGGGCCTGACAGCTCTGTTGTCCTTACTGATGCTGGAAAACTCAAGTTCAGGAAAATGCTTTCTGCAGGTAATTTCAGACAGTAACTCTTGCCTCTTATCAGTATCACAAAGAAACCAGAGGGTTTGGACTTTGGTGTTCCCTCAGCATACCTACACTCAGAAAGTAAATCTGTACCAGAGACCTTGTCCTTCTGTAAGCAACCATAAGTGACCAGGTCCCAAGCTCACAGGCCATGTCGGCGATGCTCTGTCAGGAAACCAACTGCCATTTCCTGCCTTTTTGTTAAAAAGACTCACATTGCCATCTGTGGTGGCCAGAAAGAGATGGCAATTCCCAGAGCAGCAGTCAGATCTGGAGCAGGGATTCACAAGTGTCATAATTTATATCATTCCTACATGCAGGTATGGTACTGCTTGTTTTTTTGTCATCAGCAACTCTATTTTGCATCAGACCTTTGTCGTCCCCTTGCCCGTGCTTCTATGAGTGTCTATAAACATCACATATGCACTTCTTTCTATCAGAGATTTTTATGAATAGCTGCCATAATAAGCCGATAAGAATCTCCGAATTTTTCTTGTAATTTGAGTTCATGTTGATGTGGGTATCAAAGCTCTAACACATCAAAGCAAATACAGGTAAGCCTGGCTCTTGTTCAAACATCAGAAAACAGCATGTCTCCAGGATAATTCATTTTGGGGGTACCAGAATCATGCCTCAAAATGGATGTTCTGACTTGCTGTATGTATGGTCATTAAGCTCTCCACATACTTAGCAGCATCTGATGAAGTTGTTCATGTTAGTATTGCAGTGTTGTTGGTAAGAAAGCAGCCTTTGGCTTCTCTGCTGGATGGAGTACCTCTGACAAAGGGTGGCTCCCAAAATCCCACCCCTGATCAGACCCTATCTGAACTATGTTCTTCACACAACTTTTCCACTATTGCATTAGTTTTTGATCTGAGGTCAGAAATGCAAGTGCACGTACCATGTAACACGGCTGACTGATCGTTGCTGTTCCAGGATCTGTTGCATTCTCTCATCAGTCAGCCAATATGCATCCTGCCTCAGAAGCTGCTGCCTGTGATGTCTCTAGAAATGCAGTTCTGATGAACAAAGTTGTTGTTCAACCATATCAAACACATCATACTCGCTTCAAACACCTTGTGCCACTCAGAGCCATGAATAAAATTTCTGTTTCCATATACTCAGTCTCCATGAGTAAAATGGGGGAAAACGGGGGCATGTCCATGTGTAAGTGTCCATACTCTCTCCACAGAGTTCCCACATAAATATTTGTATTTTCTCTTGCACTGCAGTGTTTGTTGTCAAGAAATTTTAGATTTATTCATTCTAAACTGGCATAGAGACTAAACACACCCTACCTGCCCGTCCCCTTCACATGTGCTAAGAAGATAATGCGCTCTATTATCAAAGTAGGTTATTTTTTTGCTTCTTTCAAACTTTGGATTATTAAAATGTGATGCAGTGATGCAGTTGAGGCCAAAGCATGTCAAAATCTCAGACGAGACTGGGTATTTGTGTGGCTGTCAGGAATACTCTCAGCTGCAATTAGTGAAGGGAGCCTTTTTTTGGAAACAGAGAAGTTAATCTCCAGTTCCTCACTATCATAACTTTTACTGCATTTCTTCCCAAAGGATTACAGGATGTGTAGCAGCAAGCAAACTGCTATGCCTGCTAATGGCATCATTTTTGCTCTTGGACGATGCCTGTGGGGTGCCTGCAGCCATGCCCACAGCCTGGCTCACCATGCTCTGTGGATGCCCAGGAGTCCCATGTGCTTTGGAAAGCACTCAGGACTTGCATCCTCCAGGCCAGAAAGAGATGCAGCATGTCACACACAAGGACAAGTTGTTCCAAGGAGGTGACTGAGATGACATCTCACTTTAACCTATTGCCCTTTCCAGGGATATACCAGACCCCTACATAATACCTTTGCTGCCATCTGGGAGCTCTGACTTCAAGTCCTGTGTTACAGCAGTGTGGTACTGCGACATCACTACTTTTTTTTTTGTGTGCACTGTAAGAGCGTGTAGGAGTTTCTTGGCACCCTAAGGATGGAATAGAAAGACTCACATTATATCATTAGTGATCTAATCTATGATGACTGCTCCTAGATGAACGATCTGCATTAAAAGTGAAGTACATGTGAAGTATCTGATTTTTCAGGAAGTACTGGGCTACCATCTAAACTGCCATGTCAGTATTCTCCACCATCACTTACATCTGCAAATATGACACGTTTGTATTCTGTCTCTTGATTTGTTATTAGTTGTTTGCCTGGATACACGTGCTAGCAGTGCCTGTGGCTCTGTGTGGACTGCAATGCCCTTTATGAAGCTGGTTATTAAATGCATAGTTGGACTGTGCCCTGTTCCACTCAGGAGTGGCTCTGCTGCCAGCAGCACCTGAGCCCATGAAGCTGAGCCACGTGGCTTCTCCAGTACCTCACAAAGCTGAAGGGAAATCATAGGGACAGTGGAGTATCCCTAAGGAAGTCAGAGCAATGGTCTCGATCCTGCAACATGTTATTTTACATGGCACTGAGACAGCAAACAATTCAATGGTTTAAAAGAGTCTAAACTTCAGAAATGTTGCCTCCATTCAAAAAGGTGCAGTAGCATATATATAATAAATAGTTCAAATATTTATTTGAAATATTAATTTGCAAAAATATCCCATTAAGGTTCTGGTTTGTGTGGTTTAATAACTCCCTATTAAAGAGCAATTTATACTTTAATAACTTTCTATGAAGAATTGTATATAATCCACTAGTAATAAAGTGTTACTAGATGATGCCATAGACAGTAGCTATAATCTCTCTCCCTTTCAAAAGTGTCTTTTGAATAAAGTTTTAAGTTGCAATAAAGAACTATAAAGCACTATGTTCTAATCAACCACAGTGAATTTTTTATGCACATACGGAATTCTAATAAAGCATGCTACCATTGTACTAACTACATCCTGCTCTTGTGTGTGATCTCACTTGGAGGCTAAAGAGGATAAGGAGCTCAAAAAACTACGTGGCTGGCAAACAAACAGGGGACAACACATAGGTAAGGAGCTGAGCCATGGGAACACCTTGAATCTGAAAAAACATAATGTTCCACTTAACCTGAAAATAAATGAACCTTTCAAATGTGGCACTTAATTGAGCTTGCTGTGAAACCCAGCACAACCTTTTTCTCCCGTACAGAAAATATTTCCTTTCTTGTAATACTTCCATGGACTCTTTCTTCCCTGGATTCTGGGCAAACTTTGAGTGGTTTTCAGTCAGTTTTCAGTCCTAGTTATCTGTGAATTCAGTGCAAAGCTAGGGGAGAACTAGCATTATTCAGACAGTGAGAAAGCACACCCTAAGAAGAGATTGGTTCTTAAAATAACCACCTGTTCAGTGCTCCAGTGAAAACTGAGATTACAGCCACAAGCTCTATCTCCAACCCTCCCCTCCTCTCTTGCCACTCAATCCTCAGAGCAGAACCGCAGAAGAACACCGTATGGAAAATAAAATTGCCTGTGGCCTGACATGTTCTCTTTCCTGCTCTCTACTGAGCATCCACATAGTGTGAGCTGACTAGGCACAGAGGCACAAGACTTTCCTCTGGATCTAGTTACCCTCTGTACAGCAGGTTTGCCACTCTTGGTGGCAAACAGGTCAGCCCAGTTATCAGTGTTTCGTACTTTGGTTGCTAAAGCAAAGTTGCCTGTTATGATCAAAGTCTATAGGTTTTTTAATGCAATCAACCATCCAAAAGCTGAAAGAAATGTTATAGGAAGGATTAGTTGAGTTTCAGAGAACTGAATTAGAAACATGGTTTTAACTGATATTCAGTAGTAGCTTGGCACATAGATCCTAGAAGCCCTCTGGAAATCCTAGACCAGGCCAGTGGGTGATCCACCATTTCAGCACTGTGCTCAGTAATTTTATCCTCAAACAATTTTAGTTAGGGACACTCCCAACATCTATCTCACAAATTACCTATGGAGTCACATCCCCTGCAGCACTGGTAGGATATTGTATCATGCATCTTTTTTAGCTTATGACTGGAAAAGATAAGATCTGAAAAGAATTTGGTGGTGAGGTAGGTGATGAAATTCTGCTGCTGTGTTTGAATACATCAGGCAAGAATTGTTTTGAGTCCTGAATATGTATTCGATTTCTGCAGGCTTCTAGGTGAGCATCTTCTGCCGAGGGAGTACAAGCATTGATATGCAGATAGAACACAATAACTATCAATACTCCAATGACACCTGGAAAACCAGGAAATACATTCTTCCAAAATAGTAAATGGACTAAGAGCCATTCATATGTTTAACATTAGATGCCAGAGAATGTGATGTTGCCTGTGTAGTCTCAAGTTTTATTTGTGTGCATAGGTAAATACAACTTAAATGATCTTTTTAGAGATGCTTATCAGTCTCTGCTATGCTTTGCACACAAGGCATGAAAACAGTTACTCAGTATCAGGGAGAAAGGGGAAGGAGAGCACTGCAGGTTTGACCCTTCTTCAGCTACCTGGATATGATCTGGAAAAGGGCATATTTTATTTAACCCACAGCACTGGGCATTGTACCCTAAGTTTTCATGCAAATACAGACAGTTTCTTTGAGTGGTATGCAGAAAAAATGAAGTTTAGCCACCGATGTATGACAAACTGTGGGAAAGGTAGCTAGATGCTGGGATGCTTTTTGTAGTAGTATGCTTTACGGAAATAAATTACTGTGTGGTGATTTCCTGTAAGGCCCAGCATGCTGAAATGTAGGGAAGCAGGTAACAAGGCTAGGTCCTAACGAGACAGGCATAGCTTGCCCAGCTACCTCTATCTCTTGCTGAGGCACTAGTGGGTAGAAAATGGACATGCTAGGATCTGCCTGCTGGCTCCCAAGCTGGGAGAAAGGTAACCACAAAAATACAGAAACAGAGAGTGGAAAAAATTATCCTGTACTTTGAATGCACCGACATCAAACACATCGGGGAAGCAAGGTTCCAACACCGGAAAATGGAGAGCACTATTTTCTGATCATCATTTTCTGATGGCTTGTGCGTTTGCAGCTGAGTCAGACTGGCCTGTTCACTCTTGCATGGAGAGCTACCTGCCAGGGGCCAGGAGGAACTGGCAGATTATCTCGACATCTTACACCAGCGCAGCCTGTTATCTGAACATGGACCAGGATCCTGCCTGGGGAAATCCTGCAGCGGGGCAGCACAGCTGGTAGAACTGCTTCCCTCCTGTACTGCTTCCCCACTCCAAGGAGCGTGGATTCAGGTCTCATCTCTGAAATGTTCCCTTCTCATCCCTTTTATGTCACCATGCATCTATATTTCTAAGCAAGGGCATTATCCCTTCTTCCGTTTTACCTTTCAATAAAGCAAACTAAACAAAGAGGTATCAAGCCCCTGAACATCAATGGGGAGAATACACACATATTCTTGGGCTGTCCAAACTATAGACCTAACATCCTGAGATGCAGCAAACACAGCTTCCCTATTGTCCCGGCTACCCCAGCTGAGCTGAAAGGAATGGCCCAGGGGCGGGGGAGAGGAGGATCAGCTGTGGGCCTGATCCCAGCTGCATCCAACCAGCTTTGTTACAGGCAACAAAGAGCAGAAGAAAAGACTTTTGTCCTTCATTGCAAGAGCAACCAACCTCCGTCTCATTGGCAGGGTGACGATTAACCGGAGAGGATTCATTTATTGTTTGGCACTCGAGATCTCCCAGCAGCAGTCCACTCCAGCCTGCTCAAATAATGGGCGGCACCCTGTTTTTGTAAATGACTCAGGCTGGCTTTGTCTCTTTCTGTGCCAGACTGCACAGCCTGGAAGAGCTGGTTGGCAGTGCTGGATGCTGGAGAGATCTCACTGAGAGATGGCTATGGAAAAAAAAAAGGGATAGAGAAAATGAGTGAAAAAAGACCTGTGCCACGACAGGCTGAAGAGTGAAGTGAGGTCTCCTTCCAGTGAACCTGGAATAAGCAAACAGTGCTGGGTTGACAAGCATTTCATGAGGGCTCCAGCACCCCGTCTATAAGATCCCTTCTGGGAGGACAGGCAACATAGGCTACTTATGTTAGGACCTATAGCCTAGAGTGAGTTTTATGGAAGAACTCTTGACCCCTGCAAAAGGGCATAACATGAGAGCAAAAACAACACCACTGCAGCAGTCTGTGCACTTTCCTGTAAGAGCAAGACCTTCCCACCGGCTCAGCTGGGGAAGAATGAATCCCATTCAGGGACGGAGGCCTGTGCCATGGAGGCCTGCCACCAGACACCCCTTCCTGATGCTAATCCTATTCTTCTGCTGTGGATCAAGTAATTTTTGTGTGAGTATTTTTCCTTGGCTAAAGAAAAAAGATATTTAACCACAACAAACCTGCTGCCAGCAAATGTCAATCTTAGCTTCTTGGGTCTATATTATAAGCACCAGCTACCAACTTCTGACTGTCATTTGCTTTTTACTGCAGAGGTACCTCACACATTGACACAGATCTCCTGGCAGTGCCAGTGTGTTGCCACCCTCCTGAAAACAAGCATGTGCAGTCCTCCAAGACATGAAAGAAAGTTAATTAGGTTTAGTGCTAGAAGGCAGCAACAGCAATATTTTAAATACTCTCTTGCAACACTTGTTTGGGAGTGCAGGGAAATTCTCTTTGCAAAGAAATACTTTCATTAGTTTGGAGAGTAGAGAAATACAGCCTAATAAGTTTTAAACCTTGCTTGGTCACCAGCCTGCCCCTACTTCGAACACTTTAAAAACTCCTACTATCCAGTCAGGTAACTCTATCATTCTAGCAGAGGCTGGAGAGGGACAGCATCCTCATCACATCCTATTAAACCACTGAGGAAAGGCAAGAGCATGGCACATCCTCCTTAAGCAAAGCTTTGAAATATGCTTTTAAAGATGTTTTTGCAACACTTCCGACAAACAAAATGTTTTATGTTTCGTTATTAATTTTTCCTAAATTAAATGGATGCTAGTAAAAACTTTCTGAGCCATGGCCTAGACCTGACCCAAAAGAGGATTGATACCAACCCTATGACTACCACCACCCAATGAGTCCCCATGCTCAGCCTCAGACAACAACAGAGGAGTTGGCAGTTTCTGAGGTGCTTGACCTTGACCAGCACACCCAGCAGCTCCCACCCACAGCTACCCCAAGGGGAAGGAGATGTTCCAGCAGTGTGGGCTGGCGCTGTGCAGGGATAGAGAATATGAGTGGCTCCTACTCACTGCAATCTCCTCCAACGACCTGCGCCTTATCAGACACATGTCTGATCATTATCAGTTTGATTGAACCACTGCTGAGAAGTGCAATCACCATTGCTTATCCTTGAAAATATCATTGTTTGTTCCATCATCCATTTCCTCACAATTCTGCTTTGAATTTTTCCATGAAAATCTTTCATTTTTCAATAGCTCTTTGATCCCAAACCCTCCACTTAGCTGCTCACAGTTGGAAAACACTACACTGAAGCAGAACTCATCACTAAAAAACAAAAATACAGGAAAAAATATACCCTGTGATTTCCACTGCTCATGGACTGTTCAGTGATGCCAATAACTGAGAAACAGCACGCCACTGTGAGTTGATTTTGCTAAACAAGAAGAAGGCAAGAGTTCTAAGGCCTAATATTGTAAACAATAACCCTGCAGAATATTGCAGCATCATTAGATTCAGGAAAGCAGTGTTACTGTCTCTATTGATTACATGTTAATGGAAGGAAAGCATTAGAATACATGTTAGTTATGGGCTGAACAGAGTGGGAGAGGGCACCCAGGGGCAGCATGTCCCCACACAACACATGACACGTAGCTGGCAGTATGTTCCTCCAGCACGGGGCTGAGGTGGAGTTCGCCCACTTCTCAGTCCCACTCCCACACTGGTGCTCACCCACCAGTGATGGAAGGATGATTCCCGTGCTCACCAGGCATCTCCCTGTGGTAGTCACTGCTCCCTCCTCTTGCCAAGAAAAACAGCATTTCACCAACTTTCTGAATTTTGTTTTATTTTTGCTCTGAGTGTCCTCAGCACACTCATTAGTTCAAGCCTTCGAATGAGCTGAAAATGAGTTACAGATGGGCACTGAATGCAACAGAATGCTACTATTTGTTCAAGACCCTTTATGTACATCTCTCACCCAAAATGCAAAACATAGCAAGAGCTGGCAAGAGACAGCCAGTCTCCACTGTACTAAAAAATAACATTCTTAGAATTAGATACATGTATTTCCATCTGATTTTTAGTAAACCAGTCTTGAATGGGAAGACACCAAGTGTGGAAACAAATCAACAAGCAGAGAGGGGAGGCTGTGTATGCTGCTGTGTCAGCTGAGCAGGCAGCACACTGAAACGTTAAATACTCTCTCAGTAACATGTCCTTCTTGCTTTCCTCAGCCCATTCCCTCAAATCCCTGCTGCACCATTCATCTCACTGCAATATCCAAAGCAAGTGGTGATTCGTGTCTCACTGTGCCTCTGCATCAGCACTACAAGGACCTGTGCACCATGACCTGGACATCATTATCTCCCTCTAGAAACTTGGTTCCTGGGTTCCAGCACTGGTATGGCATTACCAGCACTAGCAGCAGGGCACTCACTCGTGTAGATGCAGTGACATGACAGCAGGAGGTGAAGGATTTGCCCCAGGAACCAGATAGCAGGCACAACTGCCTTTCACTGATTAGACATGGTCATAATTTCTAGACATCACCAACAACATTGTGTGCAATATGGTCTGGAGCCCTGGTACCACCTGCAGCCTTATGGCTAGTTGTGAAATCACCTCTCCCCTGTGTCCCCTCAACACAGCTTTACACGCAGCAGCATGGTCCAACTGCAGTGTGGGCAGATGGAGAGAACAGAACGGAAGATAGTATTATATTTCAGTTGGAATGGACCTACAACAATCATCTGGTCCCACCGTCTGACCTCTTCAGCATGAATAAAAGTTAAATCTTGTTATTAACAGCATTGTCCAATTGCATCTTGAACACTGATATGTATGGGCGTCAACCACCTCTATAGGAAGCCTGTTCCAGAGTTTGACCACCCTTTTTGGTAAAGAAATGTTTTCTAATATCTAGTCTAAACCTTCCCTGACAGACGCAGCTTTGAACCATTCCCATATGTCCTGTCCCTGCATCCCAGGGAGAAGAGCTCAGCACCTCCCTCTCCATGTCCCCTCCTCAGGAAGCTCTAGAGGGCAATGAGGTTGCCCCTCAGCAAAGGTCAATATCTTCCTTTGGAACAAATAGCCACAAAAACCAAATAGGAAATCAAAAGGAGAATTAAATGCCTTATCCTAGGATTCTGTTGCAAGTGGCAGTTTACGGCCTTGAGTCCTGGCATAAGTGAAATGGCACTTGAACTGACGGGGTTTTCTTCCTTTCATGGCCACCATCTAGCTCACATCCTCTTCTAATAATACGGGCAAGAATAAGCTGTTACTGTTATCAAAGGATGGATGTGACCAAGTATTTCTCTATCCAACCTATTTTCAACAGCTAGTATCAGTATTTAAGGAACTATAACCAAATCAGGGTCTAGGTGAAACACCTGAACGTGGGTAAATTCATGGGCCAGTCCTGTGTGTATAACATACTCAGTAAATACAAGGATTCTGTTTTACGCAGCTGCAGACAGTGAAGTGTAGATAGCAGCCCAGCAAATAGATTCTGCTGCTTGTCTTTTCTGTGACACTTTGTTAAATACATTATTGCTTCATCATTGCTTGCGGTTTATTTTGGCAAGCCCACAACATCACATTTCTCAAAGTCTTCTGTACCTTAATAAGTCCAAGCACATTTGGAACAGAGAAGGGAAGAAACTAGATGCATTGTGCACAACTGGTAACAGTTTCCTGCCACGCCTGATTAACGGAGTAAAAACAAAACTCAGCTTCTGTTGGAAGCGGTCCCATCCAAGGTATAGGTTGCATAAATTGCCCTTAAGGGAAAGAGGAAAAGGGATGCTTGCTCTGGGGAATTGTTGTGGGGTATTGTTAAGGTTTGGTATATTACTGTTTTTTTTAACAAACAGTTTGATTTTACTATGAGGGAAGAGAAGAGGGAATCCTGCCAAGCAGGACTGGGACACTGGTTCTGCTACTGCCTTTTCTGCCAGCACAACACTTCTGCAAGCGGATTTGAATATCCTGGTGTATACGTCTTGTTCATCTCCTGTGCAGAGTCCATGGGCTGCATGGGGTTCACACTCATGTAGTGCAGTAGGTCAGTGGTATGACATGGTATTTAGAAATGGGGGAACTACCTCTCTAGTAGTCTAAACATGATTCCAGACAGGAAAATTCCCACCTCCTACCCTGCATCATTTCATCATGCTTGGTTAAATGATGTCATGAAGCCCAGTCACACAATTATGCCCATTTACATGCCAATCACTGCCTCTGCTCTACACATGTATTTCAAAGAAAAACTATTTGAGTTAAAGTAGCCAGTTCTCTGTTGTTCCCTTTCTCTTTTTCTTTTTTATTCTTTTTAGAACAGAGGAAAACCCAATTTTCATTCCTGCACAGGTTACTTGCCATTCATTCTGGCAGCTATTCCTGACTACAATGCTCTTAAAATTGTACACTGGAAAATTTCTTTCAGGTGTTGCAGTGTACAGTTAATGATAGTAATTGACAACTGTGTCATTTTACACAAGGTTGTCATCCTCTTTTGTTAGTATCTATAAACATTTCTTTGTTTACCAAGGCAGATTCAATTTGCCTGCATTAGGAACCACATACAGATTGATACCTTCATGTACATTTGCGGTTTCTTTTGAATCCAATTGTAAGATCCAATTGTAAATCCAAAAGAAATTAGGTGGCTTCCTAGAGATTTCCTTTTGCTATATTTCATCTTCTTGTTCCTATAGCCCTTGATTTTTCATTGCTGAACTGTTCTAAAATGCTTACAGAAATTACAGCTGTGCTCACGGATGTGTAAGGTTTCTTCCTCCAGCTGTCATTCAGCAAGCAAACATTCTATGCCTATGAAATATTTGTTGGCTGGCAGAGTTGTCCCATTTTTTCAAGTACTACTGCTGACTGCAGCTAAACCTTGCGAAACTTGTGAAGTTGAACAGTTAGCAATGCATACAAATGCTCTACCAGCTCTTCGTTTGATATGTATAGGAATTTGGATTTTCCTGAAACTATGTGCTAGATGCTTCTAGTAGATACCAGTGGCTCACTGGTAAAGGAGCCTGCCTCGGTGTTGTAAGTGGGAAGGGATTGCAACCTGTATTCCAGAGGGGGAGATGTTGAACATGTAATATTAATACACAAGTAATGAAAGAAAAGAAGGAAAGAAGAACACTATTTTGTTTCTAGCCATGATGGACATACATAACTTTAAGTGATTTCCTTAGCACTCAAACAGATTTCCTTACTGCCCTTTTAATGGCACATTTCAGAATATAGCTGGGCCCTGCAGGGCAGAACAACGTCAAGCAGGACAGTCAGAGACATTCCCCACAAATTTCTCTGGCTTGGGAAGATACTGCTTTGTGATCACAGCAGCTGGAAGTAGCAGGAGCTGAACTGCGGCAGGGAGAACAACAGTGTTGTAGTTACATGCAGAAAGTTTTATAAAGTCTTCAATGTATGTGCCTTGTCAGAATTTACAATAATTTAAGGTGCTTATTATTCCTCCAGGCATGGAACTCATAAATATTACTCAGTGCTATTTGTCATTGGCTTCTCTGTCATGCATAAAGCAAAATTAAATACTTATCTCTATATCGTTAACGTATTAAACATTAGGATTTATGGGGTTTGAGATCTTACTTGCTCTGAGAACATTAACTTCCTGATGAAAGATCTAAACGCAAATAGAAGGAACGCCAAAATACCCTGGAACATAATTAAGGATACTGAGGTGCGAAGAAGCCCCAGGCATAGGAATGTGCAGTTTTCTTATTTCCACTTTCACGGTGGGCTAGTTTTCTTTGTTCCACATTTCCATCCACTTTCCCAATGTGCCACTGTGTTGCTTTGCAAGAAGTCATCAGGTGATGAAAATCTAAGTGCATTCCTATATGGATTATCAGAGAAAAAGCGTTCCTGGCTTAAAACATGTCCTCACTATCTGTACTGGGAAACTGCAATTCAGCAGTGTCTAAAACATTAAAAATATCATAGATCCCTCTTTCCAGATGAAGAAAAATTTCTTTGGTAGCTTTACTTGATTTGTTGCTATTCAAGGGCTCTTGCAAACACGCATTGATCAGGGACAACTTTTAACTAAATCTCTATCTGCAGCATAATAGGAATGCTTTCTGTGTTGTTGTGTATCCCTAACCAGCAGGTAACAGCTGGCATTTTCTAGAATGCACACATACATACAGGAAGCAAACACATTGAGTTTTGCAAGCATAGCCTTAAATGTTGCTGAAAACCCTCCCATCTAAAACCCATCAGGAGTTACTAAAAGCAATTTTTAACTTTTTCCATATCCACTTCCATGAATTTGATGAAGTTAATGGATTTATGTAAGCGTTGACCTTGATTCTATGATTTTAAACAAGGGTGGGTGAGGGTCTGACAATACTGTGCAAATACATGGTTTTATTCAGTGAAGTAATGC